AATGCAGCAGGAAGCAGATAGTCTGATTTATCTTTCTCTGAGGGAGAGTGGCCAGATAGATCTAAATTGGTCAGGTCTCTAACCAGTTTATCTAGGAGCCATGAAGGGCGAGAACATGTGATTTGCGGATAACATCTGCCGTATGGCATCAAACTTAAATCTTTGCATAATAGTACATCATGGGGATGGGATTTCTGTGGAAGATCATTGGGAATCCTACTGTACTTCAAAGCAATTCCATTAAACATTATGGCAAATACTCCCTTCGTTTCTAAAGCCTTTTCTTTGTCTGTTTTCGCAAAGAATGCTGGACCATTAGCTGGGCAACAAAAGCCCGGATGATGTGGTTAATGTATGATTAAGTGCACCATGGGAACCCTAGAAAAGAAACGGTCCTGTTAACCTTGAATAAGTGTATCCTGAAAATACAGTTTAAAATGAAGAGGATGTAGTTTGGAGCATGACTATCTCATCATGTCCAGTGGCATGATTTAAATTAAGGTTTAAGTTTCTCTGAGTTTATTTGTGGCTGGGATTGCATGGTTAAGATGCAGCATAATGAAGGTTCACATAGAGGTACTTAAAGCACATGATCAAAACACTTTCCTGAATGATAGCATGTCAAGTTTGGTTTGGTCTAATGCTTAAGGCACCAGGCTAGAAATGGGAGACCATGAATTCTAGACCTGCCTTAGACATGAAAGCTAGATGGATGACATTGGGCCATTCACTCTTTCTTAGCTCAATCCACCTCACACAGTTGTTATTATGAGGAAAATAGGAAGGAGAAAAGGTATTAGGTATTTTTATTACCGATAAAATAAGATGCAGGCAGTTATGCATATGATTGGGCATGCAGTTGTAGACAGTTCAAAAAAAGAAATACAAAAATAACCATTCACATCTCAAGCTGGCAACATAAACAATTCAACTGACCTGTGTAGTATGACAGGAGAGCTATATCAGAACGGAAGCTATGTGTAACAAGTTGGAACATCTCACTGGTCAGTACTTTGCAGTTTCAGGTGACAGTATTATCTTCAAGTTTATTTTGTTCCAAGTTGGTTGCTTTAAGTTACTTACAGAGTGCTTTGGAAGGCAGAAATGTTTTTCCACTGGTTTTAATCACAGTGTAAGATATTAATTTATCACTGGTAAAATGGTTTATGTCACCCAGTGACAACAATGCCATTTTACAAGGTAGTAATGGATTGCATCCATGCAACATTTCAGGAAACATGCCAATTATACATCAAGAGAGTTTGGAATGCATTTTAGCCTGAAAGCTACTTTTAGCCTTTACTCTAGAAGTTGGGTGGCACTTGCATCTGTTAAATCAGTTGTTTCTCAAACTTGACAATTTTAAGATGTGTGGACTCCAAATCCAAGAATTCTCTAGCCAGTATGAGTTAAAACATTTGGCCTTGAGTGGAGAACATGCTCACAAGTGTAGTGAGGGCTAGAGCAACAGCTAAATAAGTTGTAATTAAATATATTTAATAACATTTCCTTCAATATATTTAATAACTTTGAGCCAGGCACTTATTACCATGCCTGGTGGATATGCCGTATCGCTAAGAAATATTGGTCCAAGATCCATAGATGGTTGGAAAAGATGATGAAACTACAGATAGAATTTAAACCGGAATTGTTTTTGTTAGGAATATTAAGACCTAATTATGGTAAAGAGAATGACTACTTGATATTGTATGTTTAACTGCTGCAAGGATAGCATTTGCCCAATTTTGGAAAAATGAGAATTTACCATCTGACTAGACTATAATTACCAAAATTTTAGAGTGTGCAGAAATTGATAGACATTAACAATTAGAAATGAAAGAAAAAAGATGATTCAATCTATTTTAGAACTTGGGAAAATTTTTATCAATGGTTAGAGACATGTTAGAACTTGAAGGATTCAATATTTTAGAATAGATGACTGATTTTTAATCGAGTTCTAACATTTTGATGATATGATTATTTTTCCCGATTTCCTGATTTTCATTTGTTACTTTTGTTTGTTAGGATTTTTTTGAGATTTTATTAGTAATGTTTACTTAATAGATCAACGTATTTGTTTACTAATTGTTTTTAATATGTTACAGTCTAAGCTTCGTTAAAAATGGTTGAATATGATATTTACTCATTATTATGATCCGGACAGTAGCTTGTTTATTGAAATAAGTGAAGATGACGAATGGGACTTCGTCGAAACGTCGCCAAGACACTTCCAATTTTACGTGGGAGAAAACCCGAATAACCAAAGATATATATATCTTCTATCTCTTATCACATGGCTTTAGAAGCCATTCCAATGCTTGAAGGGAGTTGTGTGTGACTCAACGTCCAGTTGTATATCCATCCCCATTGTAAAGGCAACTTTCCAGGCAGTCAGTTTCGTTCTTCCAAATAGGAGCCAGCAGCCTAATGTTCAGGATGATTCAGGAATGCCCACCTGAGCTATACCATTTCATAAGTTTCCAAAATAGTATTACTCTAAGAGCATGAGGCTTACCAAGGGAATAGTGGAGGATGCATCAGTTAAAGCAGGGTCAGGTTATTTGCTTTTTAAATGGCCTTTTTTTAAAAAAATGGAAATGAAATTCTTTCATAATATTGGAAAGAAGCCCAGTCCTTGAATTCTAACTGTATGAGAATAAGTTGGGGTCCCTCAGTTGTGAACCGAGGGCACCCTGAATGCACTCAGATGTATTCTTTAATACACATTCTCAAAGCACCTAGAAGCCCTCTCTTCCTTAATTGGCGCCATAGACGATTATTGCCTTGTGTTCTAACTCACTGCGTTTCCTTTGATCAGCTTAAAAGTGTGCAAAGAATGAATGCAGGACTTTCTTTATTCATGAAGAGAGTGTCTTCTCCTTCTCACGTACAATTAAAAAGGAACAACAGCCCAGCCAGGAAGGAAGAACTGGTGTCTATCTAGTACCAGGCATCTTCCTGTGGTCCAGAGCACCTCAAACAAAAAAGCCACTGGTCCCCCTCCTGTTTGGGAAAGGCAAAGCACAATGACACTGACTCAAAGGAGAGATGCCACTTACTCCTAGCTTCTGTTTGCATGAACGAAGAGACTGTTGGAGGGAGTGGGTGTATCTTCCCTTCCCCAGACTTAACTTAGCTCATGGGAAATATGGAAAGGGGGATTAGTTCTCCATCCTGACCCAGCCAAATCTAAGAGAGAAATAGCTACCTCGAAGCAGCCCAGAACTCAGGAAATGCCAGATCAAAGAAATGCATTTGTATCAAGGCACAGTGTGGCTATTTGGATAGAACATTTGCAAACCATGCCATGTGTCTATAGGCAAGCAGATGTTTGTGTATGCATGCATATGTGCCTGCTGAAGCTTCTCTTAATTCCTCCCCTTAGCCATTGGCAAATGACTGTAATTATATGTTTCTAGGGGGGAAAAAAAACCAACACAAAAAATGGCGTCAAATAATTTAAAGCAGTTCAAGTAGAAGGTCTGTCAATTCTTTAAGTAAATGATCCTGTGTTTATTCAGATGTTTCTCCCCATAATTGTTGTCTGGAGGGAAAAGCTCACAGGCTAAACCCCAGTCAGTCTCCCAGGCTCAGGAGGAGACGTTGATTTGGGGTTGATTTATTGAAACAGAGTGAAAGCAAAGAAGTGGGGGGGGGGCATCTTTTTTTTTCCCCCGTTAGGCTTAGGCAATGCATGGGGCTTTTGCCAAAATGAAAAGGGAAGGAGGACAGGGAGGGGAGCAAGGGATCTTCAGTTCTGTGGAATTGGCTTCAAACTGATCTGCCCCCCCCCTTCATTGTTTGAACAGGTTGAAAGTCTGATAATGAGGTTTTGATGAATCCTGAACAAATAGTCTTCCTCCAAACCTGATTATACTGTGCTGGGGTGGAGAGAGGAAGGGATTGGGAGACAAAATTGGAGAAAGCTGCTGCAAAGCAGTTGAGTGTCTGTTTCTCTCCATCCCCAAAATATCTTACGTATTTCATTTTTTTAAAAAAATAACAGAACTAAAATCTTCCAGCTAGAGTCTGGTATAGATGACAAACATTTTTAAAAGCTAAGATGATGCTCAATGCTAGGCACCAGAACTCAGTTGGGCTCTCAGATTTTTACCCCAACCCTATTGATAGTTTTCTAAGTTTTCTGAATTTTAGTAGTATATTATTTTTGTTGTTTGCAGATGGGTGGCTGGGCTGCTTCCAACTCGCTGTGGGAAAAGAGTTACACTAATATCAAAGAAATAGTGGAATAGAATCATTAAAAAAAGGATGTCAAAGAAGGGAAAAGTGAAATGTGAATGACAAAAATTAAAATAATGTTTTAATTATTTTAAATAATTCAATGGAATTGTTAATTGTCCAGTAGCAAGTTATCCCATAGTAAATTGGCCACGGCAAGTTGTCCCACTGTGAGTTGTCCATGGTGAGTTGCTCATGATGAGTTGGCCATGGTGACTTGGCTGCAGCATGTTGTCCCATTCTATGCTTCTGTGTTCAACAATTGGAATTCTGAGAGCCTTGCCGATGTGATGGAAATCATGAAGGAACTGAATTATTTCCAATCTATTTTCTGTCTGCTATGTTGATGCCTTTAGTCAGAAGGTCAGGAGTTTATGGCAGAGGGGGAGAGGAGCAAGGAGCTGTGCAGAAGATTATACAGTATCATTAATTTCCTAGGCATCAGTTACATTTACATAAGAATAACTCATTTATACTGTATATTCCAATTTGGGTTCTGTTGAAATGAGACAATTCCGAGGAAGAAATGTGAACATTTATTACAGTGTCTTCCCCGAAGCTAGCCAGACACAAAATCTTTCTTGGTCCTTCGCTATTAATTGTCTTGTTAATTCATGCCTGAGTTTACACAGGGAATGTGATTGACTGGCTGATGAGGTTTTATACAAAGGCCAGATTTCTCGACTTCTCAGCATTCATTGGTGGTGTAAGTCACAAACAAATAAAAAGAGCTCAGCACAGATTCTCTTTCTTTATTTCAGATGATTATTTTCCACTTAAAAGAAGAGCTAGAATGGAATGAAGGCCTCTCACTGGTGGATTCTGAAGACAGCAACGCAGAAAAAGCTCCTATCACAAAATGTTTGTAAACATTTTTATCGAGCAGGTTGAAAGAGGGAGCCGGATCTCAAAGACAGTCCTGAAGCCTAGTTTCTGTTCAGTGATAATACAAAGCAGCAGGAATCTTGTATTTCTAGTTCCCTTCAGTATATTTCAGCTATTTTTTTTTAGAAGTATTATAAACATCAGGGGCAGAAAAGATGCAGAAATCCTTAAGGGAGTCTCAAACTACTTATGTGTATAAGTGTTCTGGTGCCAGTCTTTTATTTATGTAACCCATGTGTATTCATTCCATTCTATCCACTTGATATACTGAATTATGTTGTTGGTAAAACTGCATGTCACTTTCAGCATCCTGTTGAGTTCTGTTCTTATGAATGTCGGATTCTGCTTCACACGGGATCCCTTTTTTCCTACCATTTCGAAGTGCATCTTTGATTGTATCAAGAGCAGTCAAACATGTAGACTGCAGTGAGCACTACTGAATTTCAACCCTAATCTGTCAAAAAAAAAAAAAACAACCCCCCCCAAAACCCCAAATGTGATTTTTTATGCTTAGTTATTTTTTTTGCGGGAGGGGGCAGGTTGGAGGGAAATTTATAGAAAAATTGGATGAGGAAACCAAGACAATCACCCATCAAAGAACAATGCTCAGAACAGCCTGGAAAAAGAGAAACAAGTGGATTTGGATTGGCCAGAATTTTGGTTTTGTTAACAGTATATTTTGTTTCGACCTTGAAACAAAATTTTCAGAACATTAGATTTTGTTTGGAGCACAGAACATTTGGAGGTTTGTTTCAAGCGTAGGACCTTTTGTGCACCGTTGTGTAAAAGATTTTACAATTATCTGCTTTTAATGCTGTAATAACCCTATCCTAATTTTCTCCTTTGAAAACTTATACATGACTAAAAGAGAGAGAAAAAATGACCCTGTCTTATGTCTTTTCCATTAAGTGTATTTGTTGGGTATTATAGTTCTTACATATTCCTGTCCCAAGAGTCATTTGTCACTTATGAAGGAAGTGATTCTCAGCAGGTTTCTTTGAATTAAAGACAAAATGTACGAGCAAATTGCACATATGGCTTTCATTGTTTCCATATTTGTTGAAGAATAACTCTATTGTGCTTATTAGGATGGAAAAGGAGCATATGAGTTAAAACCAGAAGTGTATTTTATCCCCAACTCCTAGAAAATGAATGATAAATCATAAGACTAAGGTCAGAGGGAGGGCTACAAAACCAGGAAAGGAAAAGAAAATAGACATTTGAGAACAAGATATTAGGAATTTTTAGATAGAACTTGGAAAGGAATATCTGTCCCTTGGCATGGTGCTAATCCATGCAGAACAGTAAATGATTAGCAGTGGCCTATTATTATGGTGAACTAGATTTTTTCTCTTATTTAATATTTATTTTATTTATCTACTTAAAAAAAAACCACCCTGGTTTCCAAATAGACTTGTGGCAGTTTATAGTCATCCCAGATAAACATAACAAAGATTACCTCTTGACCTTGAATGTTTACATTCTTCTATCTTGAGGGAAAAAGGGGGAAAAACACCTGAGAGAATTCTAAAAGCCACCTGAAGAAGACAGACAGACAGACAAGACAGAAGGAGGGTGTGAGAGGAAAAGAGAATGAGAGAGAGAATAGTAAGAAGATGCAATGTTTTGGATTTACAAAAACACTGTTTGGACCTGGGGCAAAACATGGATTCTAAAGTAACTTGAACCATAGCAATTTCTTCCTAAAAGGCCAATGCAACTTTGGTCTTGAGTGCAAACTCTTATTAAGAATGAAATCTGAGCTTCTTTCCCAAATTCCATATTCTACAACTTGGTCACATGACAGGGAATCATAACTTACATGTAGCTCTGATTGTGGTACACAGGAACAGTTTAAAGATCTTGCAAAAGGATAATGAAGTGCACGCCTAATAATTAGCTGAATTTGGAAGCTCCTTCCGTCTGACTCACTGGTTTCTTAGCCTCTGGCAGTCTTTTCCTGAGGCCATTCAAGGTTTTCTCTGTAGCCAGTAAGACTAGAAACTTTCACTGATATAATTAAAAGATTTTGTGAGATTGTTAAATCCTCAACCATAGGAACTACTTTTCTGCTTTCCATACTGCATATCTTAAATGCATACCATGCAGCCATTTGGCGTCAGACTTCTAGAACTTATGTAGTATCAGTTTTATCTGCTTTGTACAGAACTGTTTTATGGGATGGAATTCCACCAAGTTGTTATCTATAGCATTAGGAAATGATTTGGAGAATAAGATTATTTTAAATCATGATTACATGCTGGGAAGGAATCTGATAGGCCTGTTAAGATCTGTTCAGGTTTGAATTTGATTTCTCCCCAAGAGACAATGAAATATATTTTATTATTTATCTAGAAGCATGAGAACATAATCCGTCTCTTCTCTCTTTGTAAATTCTTGCATCTCTTTATGGTTATGGTAGATACAAAAGAGGACAGTCTTCCAAATTCCTTTGAAGAGGTTATTTCAATTATTAAATGTTTTATTTTGTTGTCCATTGTCACTGATGGAGACCCCAATACCATCAGTCACATTAAAACTAAATGTGATATGTCCAAAGATAACTGGTCAGGCCTATTTTGGAATGGAATGTCTTAGCACATGTTGGGCAAATGTGTAGACACCTCAGTTATTGCACTGATGCCTTCAGACTTGCTGTCCATCTCACTATTCAAAGTGACTGAGGGCGACTTATGTTGTGCTTTTGTTGTGTGCTTTACTTTACAAGTTTAACAGTCCTTATGAATGAAGCTATGCCAGATAGAATGATTCTGTGTGAGGTTTCCCAGGTGGTCAATGTCTATGTCAAGTGACTTCAGGGAGTGTAATGTATCTTTGTAATGTTTCTGCTTTCCATGCAAGCATTTACCCATCAGAGAATTCCCCAGAAAGAACTTCCTTGGGTAAGCACTTGTTCGGCATACAGATGGTGTGTCCACCCAATGGATCGGTGCAAGCTCATTATCAGTGTGTGGATTGATGGTAGACTTGCTCTAGAAAGAACTTCAATGTCTGGCATTTTATCAAGCCCTCTCATGCCTAATATACTGCAAAGACAAGTCACCTGGAAATTATTAAGCTACCTTGCATACCTTTAATATACAGTCCACATTTTACAGGGATATAGAAGGGTAGTGAGTACCACAGTTCTGTAGACCTTCAGTTTTGCTGCTTCACTCATTCTTTGATATTCACACACAATAGAGTGCAGTCTACAAAAAGCAGAACTTGCCTTTGCTGTTCTGCAGTTGACTTCTATATCAATGGTTGCTATTTGTTAGAGGCTCCTACCAAAATAATTGAAATGGTCCACTGCTTTTGCTTTTTGACTTTTGATTGTGATTTTGGATCCTGTGTATGTGCATGAGGAGCAAGGGGGCTCATGTCCTTGATGATTTGAATATTGGTGGTGAGTCCAAAATTTCACAAGTTGTAGAAAATTTGTCCATAGTGGCTTGATCTCTGGCTCTGAGCCAAAATTCAGGACACAGTCATTGGCAAAATAGAAGTCTCTCAGAACAATTTCTTTCACTTTGGTAATAGTGACTCCCTTCAGTTATTCAATAACTCCTTTCAGTTGTTTAATAGCAGCAGTAACTGTAACCAGATCACCTCAGGGTACTAAACAAAGGAAACCATTGTACAGATATAATTCTAAGCTGGACAATGAATAATGATTACTTGCAAAATATAGTGTAAATATTGATTCTGCTGCAAGAACATGGGCCAGCAAATCACTACTGAGAGTGGTGAGCTAACCATAACTCTAGAAAACAACATTTGTAGCTGTATCATAAGAAACACTATATGGACCCACCTGCCCACATATGGAGAAGATACCCAAACAAAAATATTTGCAGCATCCACTTCTCAGAACTTGACTCATAAACTGGAAGATAGTAGAGAAGAAGCTCCTTTGCCTACCTTTGTCAGGGAAAACCCTGAGCAACCTTCTTCTGCATCCTTAGTAAAAGTGAGTTTGATAATGGATGAGACTGAGAGGATCTTGATCCCACAATGGTGTCCTTTTCAGGGAGAACATATTAATGGGTTCTCATTGAGCATGTGGCTGAGTTTATTACAAAGCCCAGCTATTCTTCCTTAGACAGGGACAGTGCACTTTCCCTCCAGCTTTTTCTTGCATAATGTTTCTTCTCCCTCCATTTGTATGAAGGCATTTGTACTAAGGCATTGTTCTTTATTGGAAGCAGAGTAGAACTAACCTTGGGGAAACCTTTGCTGCCTATTCCTTCCTAATTTCATTTGGGTTGAATCACTTTTGATCAGATGCTTTGGAAGCTCCAGTCAGCTATTGTTTAGATAATTTGGTAAGCGCCTTCAAGACCACAAATCAGAAGGCTGCTCATGTCTACACTTCATTGTCTTTGGATGGGTTCCTGAAAGGTTCTTCCCAGAAAGAGGTGGAACAAGTCTGTTGTCAAGTCAGGTAAATAGTGTTCAAGATGACCTGACTATGTAAACATCAAGCTGAAAAATTCTTAACATGTGCTACTGCCTATCAGCTATCCCAGTGTTTCTCAACCGTGACAATTTTAAGGCATGTGGACTTCAACTCCCAGAATTCCACAGCCAGCAATGCTGGCTGTGGAATTCTGGGAGTTGAAGTCCACATGCCTTAAAATTGTCAAGGTTGAGAAACACTGAGCTATCCAGATTACATGTGATGTTCAAGCTGTTTTAATTAATAAAGCTTTTATTTATTCGTACTTGGTTTTTTGTTCTTTTCACAGGTGGCAAGAACTTTCTCTGAAAAATCTCAAAGTCTAGGCATGCTCACTACACAGACTCTGATTTATCAAATAGCCTAGTCCTGATTTAGAGGGGATTTTATATGTCACAACACTTTGAATTGTTCCTCAAAAAGAATAGTGACTGATGGATTAATTTAAAAAAAGATTAACATATGTATTCTCTACAATCAGTGCAAGTCAATAGTCTTGACCACCTTAAAAAGCAACTCCACAGAGTATTATGCTGATTCATCTTTAGATATGTTATTATTTAGTGAATAGCTGATAAATAATTTGAACTAATACAGTAAATAGCATTGGCATCTGACATGCTTTGATCTAAAATCTTGGAGGTGTTGTTGAAGGTTGCTATTTTTCATGCTCTGCTTAGTTTGGAGCATGAACTAGATAAAGCAAGTAAGGTAATGAAATAATGGGGCAACATTGTTGTTGATTTTTGGTTTTTTTTTTTTTTTGCTTGATCAGGATTCTGCATTTCCTAGACATGAGTGAATTGAGCTATGTGATTAGAATCTGAGTATGATTTATTAGCCCCATTGAATTAAAACTGAAGTGAAAGCACTCTTATATCTTAAATCTTTGAGTCATGGTTAAGTGTTAACCATACAAACATGGCAGCTCAATTTAGTTCATTTTTAAAAGTCTTACTGTATTGCAGTGTATTGTTGTAGGACCATTCAATGTGCTTTATATACAAAATATTAGGCCATACTTTCTTATTAGAACTTCTGAGGTTCCTCAAAACTTTCTGCTAACATTTAATGGTAAATCACTGAATAATGATGGCATGATTTTCTGCTTTTTTTTAAATAAAAAAGAAAAGACAAGAGGAGTTAAAGATCAAATACAAGAGTATGTAGAAACACATTCATTTCTTTAATTACTTGAAGGGTTAAAATAAGCAAGATCTGAGTCTCAGCAAAGGTAGTGGATACTATTTGTCAGGCCAGTTGTGTGAACTGTACAGACAATAATGAAAGGATAAATTAACTGGTAATTAATCTTGTTTTTAATGATGAACATATTACAGTATTTGGCACATTTGAACTGGAGCTTGTTATGCATATGGGAATTATTGTATTACGGGCCTGCTAATTATGTGTTTCAGCAATATCAGTAGAATTTCTAAAATATCTCTGATGCTTGTCTAGAGAAGATGATTCATTCCCTTGTGGAAAACTTTGAATTATACTCTCAGTCAAGAGGTGCTGAGCTGAATTCCTGGCACATGTGGGAGACAAACAAATCTCTTGT